GGGGGTTACTAGAGGTTTCATGATGACTTGAGAGCACTCAAAACCTTCACTTTGGAAATTCGCGGAGGTCGAGCTCCCAAAACATTCAAGATTTTACAAGCATTCAAGACTTTTTCGCGGAAAAAGTTTCGGCTCCGATTCACGTAAGATTTTTCGAGACGGGAGGTTGAGCTCCAGAATTCACTTACGAGAAGGGAGGCATAGCTCCAACAATTAACTGACGAGATTTCGCCAAAAGAGACAGAGTTTCCGGCAATAGGAATTATTCTCGCTGGCCGTGAGCTACACTAGCATGTCATCGCTAGTCATTGGTGCGCGGTAACACTCTCGTGCCAGAGGCCGGCTCAGCCCATGGGCCGTCCGCGATCGCGGAATTCGGAGTTGCATGATTTCCAATTAGTCATCGCCGACGCGAGTCGTGGGTGCCTGGTGGTCGGGGCTTCCATCCCTGGGTCTGGCATGAGGAACAAGCGGGAAGAGTGCGGCGACGTTGGAGCGCGGCCGTGATACCGTCTGCAGCTGTCCGAGGCGACCCGCCCAGCCGGCAGTCAACAACCCCACTAGTCTTCTACCGCCACCACTACCATGGTAACCATTAGCTTTGCTAAAATGCGGCAGAACAAAAAAAACTGAGTGAAGCTAAAAACAAAATTGCAATCAGCATTAGTATTCATGGCGGCCTACTAGTTTATTTAATTTTGTATCGAGCCAATCATTAACTTTAAGATTAAAAGAAGGGTGGCATGTGTCTCATTTGTAAAAAGATGTCATGTAAAATCACCTCTCATTCATGCTCATCATTGTAGATACTAAATGTTTCATTAGTTAAATTTAAATGAGTATATTATTGAAAACAGAATTATATAACGTTTCTTCATGGAAAGAAGGACATGTAAAAGAATGACAGTCATTTTGTTGAAAATCACAACCTTAAAAATAATGCCAGAGTTTATGCGCTGTTGAGCACCACTAGTTTAATAGTAAGTTCATTCCAATGTAGTTCTAGTCTCAACTTCTAGTTATTTTAGGGTGTGATTATAATCACTGTGGTGTATCCAACCACTCACCAAATGTTTGTTATTTTATATTTGCTATCTTTCATTACAGTCTCTAACAATATCAAATTTATTTCTGTACCCCTTGAATTCTCAAATTTTGTCTTTGAATGAATGAATGAAATGTTAATAAAAAATGTAATTTAGCACATTTCAGCTACATGGCAACCTACACCCAGTTCTCATTTGAAAGAAAGAAGAAATTATGGTAGGTTCATAAAACAATATAAGAAAAAAATGTTGTTCTTGAGACATCATAAACAGTACAGTACATAATAAACAATACAGAACGAAGTGGAAACATCAATAGACATTTTTCCCTTTTCTTTCAATATCTATCTACACAATAAGTTAGATAAATAAATTTATGCCTTTCCAACCATTTTTCACAATGCTGAAAGAACAGTTTAATCTTCAGGAATAAAAATTTGGGTGTTAATACCTTTATTTACAATTACATATTGTTACATGCTTTGTAAATCTATTAAAATGGCAATCAATTTTGAGACCCTTGGTAAACTGCAGCCAATGTCATAAGAAAGCTCTTAGCTACCACAAAATGAAAAGCTTACACTTCTACATAGAAGAAGCAAAGCATTTTATTTACCAATATCAATAAAGCCATTATCGAGGAATTTAATTAACAAAATCTTAACAAGCACATCAATTAGCTGTATGCTATACTATTGTAAATAACTTAATATTTCACTTCTCACTATTTAGCAAAAGTGAATATAAACACAGTAAGCACTTACAGTCAATGACGGTTCAACAAAATCCATCCACATCCTCCCAACACTAGCCCTTCAAGATGCTCTTTCCATTGAAACCTTCACAGAAATAACCTCAATACACTATTTTATTACACTATTATAAATACAATTGTTTGTTTCTCTGTAAAGATTGAAGAAATAATCTAACATTATCATTCATTTCATACAACTTAATTATATATACACATTCTTCAAAATAAATCACACTAACATATCCTAAAGATTATTAGGCACAAAAATAAAGATCATTTCCTAATACATCCAAAAAGCAAAATAAAATATTTTACTTCATAGAGGACAATGGCACCAATATAAAAGAAAATCACTAATGCTTTATACAATCTCTTGTTCCCCATGGATTTTAACCTTCCTTACTATTGAGCAACATGCTTAATTCCCACCACGGCACCCCAGGCAGCCCGAATGCCGACAAGCTTGTCCATTCGTTGCACTTCCTGTCGAGTCCTTAGCACCATTGTTCGACTGAGGAGCACTTGATCGCAAATGGATTGTTGCACCACTTCCTGATCTTTCAATACCACCAGGTCTCTTAGTCAGAGTTCTACTTCGAATCGGAGGCTGAATCTTCCTAGCTAAAGCAACAGCAGATTTGGTCTTTTTTGCTGCTATAACTACTATTATTTTCTTTTTATTAACATTATTCCGTCTCAAAGGAGAATTTCCATTTTTAAGTAAATTTTCTTTCTTGGTTTTCTTCAATGGTGTAATTTTTTTGTTCTTTATTTTATTTGTAGTTTCATCCTTTTTGTCATCATTGCTCAAAGGGTGATACTTTTTTGATTTACCTGTGGCATTCGCTTTTACTTTACGTTTGACTATAGTATCTATTTTGTCCTTGGAATCTTCAAGCGCAATCAACTTCTTGGGGTCTTGACCTTTAAATTCTTTCTTAGAAATATCCTTATTGTCCTCTTTGTGTTCTATTTCTTCTAGAACAACTTTATTATCGTCCTCACAAACTGCCATCATACTTGTTGCTGGAGCAGCATAAATGTGATCTTGCAACAATGGATTTTGTGGAGAAGGTTTTGTGTTCAAAGTGTTCCTACTAGTAGAAGACAACTGTTTGGAAACATCAGCTACATTTTCAGAAGACAAACCAGCCTTGAGAAGAACTTGTTTCTTCCCTTTCATTTTACGAGCAAAAGCAATTCGCCTTGACCTCTTTGGTGTGACTAGAAAACGCCTTATCTTATTCAGAGCAATTGTCCTTTGCTTTCTATGCCTTGTCTTCTTTAGTGGCTCAGCAACACAGCTTCCTCCCTCCCTGTCAGATTTGCTCTGACTCCTTTCAGGTGATTTCCTAGCACCTGTGACATTTGTTACACCACTTAGAAGCATTCAATAAATTATAAAATATTTAAGGCATGCAAATTACCACTGCATAATAGAACAACTCAATGTAAGTAAAAGCATAGGTATTCAAGCATAGACTTGAATCAACAATCAAGTATAATTTATTCACTTTAAGGTTTACTTGAAATTTGCACGACTTTAATATATTGTATTACATATGGTGTGAATGAAAATATATGCCTAAAAGTACCGCATAGTTCATTAAATTCTGCAATAGGAGTGTTCACAATTTCAAGATATTAATTGCAGTAAAAAATAGAGAAAAAAGAACACAATAGAATGTATAACAGTAAATGAAAAAATAAGGAAATTTCTCTCCAATGAGTACAATATCCCACAAAATGAAAGTGAAAATGAAAGAACAATAAGACATTTTAGTTCAGTATCAAATTCTATTTAACGTTAGCTTGCTTCAGAACAGGCACAGCACTTCGGCAGAGGTACACTGATCAAATTACTAATAATATTTGGTATTTGTTGGTGTATATCAAACAGTAAAACTATTTAGTATGAACAGGTTTGAGAAAGCCATATTTACTATTTCCATGTGCACACCAGCACCCAAAACTGTTTTCCCTGCATTTTTCGGGATTTTTCCTATTTTCTCTGCCTTAAATTTAGCAGACTGCAGAACTCCAAAATAAGGTCAGTGTTCACCCTGTATACTATTTTCTTGGCTTTGATTTTCCTGTGTTTACCCCATTTTTCCAGAATTCAGTTATCCTGTTTTCAAAAACAAAATTATGAGACCATCTCTGCATTTCTTCCATGGTAACTATGAAAGTGAATGAAAAATCACAATTAAATACGAGTTGCATAATTACATTTTACTTCAAGATTTGTTACACATTTTACCTTTTTTTTGTTAACATTAAAAAATTACAAAAGTAGTATGAGACAACAGAGCTATTTATGCAATTTTGTTTGTTTGTAGAAGCTAATTTTGTTTTAATTACGTTAAGGTTTCATATCTGTTATAAGAAAACCTTCAAAAATGTAAATTTAAATTTCAACTTCAACTTCAATCCCTCAGCATTAGTTTGGTTACAAATGTTAGCTTAGGAACGTATTCCAGAAACTATTTATCTTGACTTGTCTACATTCAATAATTAATATTCACTCAAAACAATATGTCTTTGTAGATCTACATTTGATACAAATATCATCAATCATATTACAGATCCACAGTTGGTATTTTCAAAAATGAAAATCAGAAAGAAAAAAAAAAAGTTTCCCACAATGATTTACAGGAATTCAAAGAGTCTCTCCCCCATATAGAATGTTGAAGAGACTGAATGGTAAGATAGGCATCTGATGACTAGAGACTGAAGATCAAGTTGAAAAACTAAATGTGTTGTAAAATTAAACAAAATTCAATAAAGTACAACCTCACTTTTTCGTTCACAGAATTCATGTTTTTTGCAATTTATACAGATGTTTCCTAGTCCCTTCAATTTTCATATATTAAATTATGTTAAATTCTACCAGCTTTTACACTTTCGAAATTAAATTTTCCTCATAGTTTACACTTTTTGAAGCCATCACGAATCTGTAAATGCCAATTTTCTTCATATTTTTTTCTTTCGCAATGAGATTTATCTTGTCAAATTCCGGTCTACTTTGGAGTTTATTTCTTCTAGTGAAGTTTTAGTGCAGTGTAGTCCTCACTAATGCATCAGGACTAGTACTGAAGACTAGTATACTCTTAGTAACATGTTGGGTACATTGTAGTTTGTTTGTGCTATTTTATGAAAATTTTAATTTGAAATAGTGTCAATTTTGCCCTGCAATGGATTTTAAAAGAAAGAATGAGTATTGCTATTAAAAAAATTCCAGAAGTGTAGACGAAGTCCACAAAGGAGTATGTGTTGAGTTACCTAACACGTTAGGGATTACAAGTATCCACTCTCAACACAATAGTAAGAAACAAGGACTCAATAATTAGAAGTGTCAACTATAGTGGACATTTTTCCAAGAGAAAGTATGCCAGTTCTTCAAAATATATAGAATTGGAGGAAATTCTGAAGAACTGGTTCCAGACCGCATGTGCTTCAAACATCCCCGTGGGTGGCATGTTTTTACATGAAAAAGCCCTGGATGTGATAAATAAGCTTTCTGTCGGAAACTTCACGTATGGAGAAGGAAATGCCAAGCCGGAAAAAATTGTTTCAGAATAGCAAAAGACTGATGGACCTCTAGAAAGTGTATTCACCCAAGGTGGTGAAATGCCATGAGGGCAGAAACAGTAAGCTTAGGCTTGCAGTGATGTTAGGATCAAATGCCGACACTCTGAAAAGCTTTGCCCATTTGTTGTAGGAAAGCCCAAGAAACCTCAACACTTCAAGAATGAAAAGCTTTGCCCATTCGTTGTAGGAAAGCCCAAGAAACCTCAATGCTTCAAGAATGTTCAAACGGGTGCTATGTCCAGTCTACAATATAAGAGGCCAATAAAAAAGCTTGGATGACTTCCAACCCTTTTGAGATATAAATGTATGCTCTTGATGAGAAGGTAGGAACACAGAACTAAAGAATTATTTTATTTCTTGATCAGTGTTCTGCTTGAGAAATTGAATTCTTAACAGACAAACTGCACAAACAAGCTACAGCCAATGGATTTAGGCATAATCCATGCTTTCAAGACCTACTGCAGAAAAAATGTTGGGCAGAGCTTATTCGTTTTGATGGAGTCACGGAAGAACACAATTACATAAAATATCTATCATTAATGCATTGCATATTACAAAGGCATGGAAATATATAAAACAATCCATTATCTGCAAAAGCTTTAGTCTAAGCATGAAGATGAAGTGAAGAAGAAAAATAACATAGTTACCTTATTTCTGCATAGGAGAAGTTGAAAACGGTTTACAAAATTAAAGACTTCCTCCATTGTAATGGAGAACTAATGACTGTGCATTGTCAAAGTAAGATTTATTCACTTCTGGGAGGAAATGACTGTGAAAAGTGAGTGATTTTAATGATATTGATGGTGACAGTGCAGAAGTAGTTTGTACAATAAACACAATAAAAAAATATATTTCTGCAGCAGATGGAGACTAATAGTTTTGATAATGTATATGAAGTTGAAAAGCAAGCTGAAATAATTCACAAGAAGGCAAAACAGTCATCAATATTTTTAAAAAATACTAAAATTCGTGTATTTTAAAGTGGAAAACAAAAGAAATTCAAAAACACTACTGCTTGTTAATACTAATAATTAAAGTGAATTGCAAATGTTTGGTAATTTATTACACGCACAAAAGGAGTTTCCCTCCATTTATATCATTTTTTTATAGGTTCCTTGAAATGTGTAAAAGAGTTCACTGTATTTCAAAATCAGGTTCTTCAAAAAGATCTGGACGACTGACTAGACCCTAAAACATTTGATAAATGGAAAGGTATAGGAAAAAAAATATGTATACGAATATAAGAACATCAACACTATTAATACGAGAGAGAGAGAGAGAGAGAGAGAGAGAGAGAGAGAGAGAGAGAGAGAGAGAGAGAAGAGCGAGAAGAATGCAATAGAAAGTTGGAAATGTGCGACCCTGGCATTTTGCATTTACCGTTAAAGCATAACAGTTTCATGTCTACTGACATAAAAGATAGGAAAGCAATAAGCAAGAACAGAGCACAAGTTAGAAGAGCGAGGAAAAGTCATTGTTGAGCAATAAGAAATCAAAAATATAAGTAAGGGATGCATATTTACTATTTATACTTTAACAACAGACCATACACTGATAAATTGCGAACAGAGCATACTTCCAGAATAAAGAAGTCCAAGCTGGAATTGAAGCATTGAGATGACAACAGCACCAGTTACTGACTACATGCATGGAAAATTTTGAAGCTTCTCAACAAAGAGTGTGAGTAGGTTGACGCCAATGTTTAATGATTGGCAACACTCCTTGCCTATGGCTAAAACTGAATTAATGATATTGCCTAACATACCAAATACTAACAACTACAGAACAATACACCTCCAGAGTCGTTCCTTGAAACTTTGAGTATTTACATGGAATAATTGAGCAGCTCTGTAAATAACAAGAACTATCTACACAATTTGAGTTCAGGAATGGGCACACACAAAGATTTTTTCAGTTAGTGTTTCAGCAATGCAATGTGTAATGTCATGTCTATGTTGGTTTTATTGACCATCAGGAAACTTTAAATAGATTACAGCAGGTACATCAGACAGAATTAATGTTTTTATTATAATTTGTCAACTTACTTTGGAACTACAATAACTTAATGTGAAACTAATCAGAGCAAATATACTTTATAACTATGTAATAGAACAAAAAATAGTCATGATTTAAAATGGAATATGAAATTCACACCAATAACCTTGTAAGAAGTAATAAAAATAAATCCTGATGATTCAGGAGACAGGTCAATGAAATGCTCACTAATATTAGAAATAGAAGCAGAAATAATGGTAATGGTACTGGCAATAATACTAATAGAAGTAGTAGATGTACAAGAAATAATACTAGATGATAAAATCTTGAAAGAAAGAAGTTTTTCCTTAGAACATTTGAAAGAAACTGCAGAAAGATCTTGCCAATATTTAGATTAATAGAGAAAATTTCCCAACTAATATCAATATTAAATCTTTCACGTAATCTCAAAAAATATACAAGAATTACAAATTAACCAATATAATTTTCTACTTCCAAGTGATTTTACAAAATGACTAATTGACTACAGGATAGACACAAAATGAAGACTTACCATCCTGACCAGATGGAGCAGTACATAAATTTTTCTCCACAACATGAGTAGGTTCTGCTTCTCCAATTCCAAGAACATCAGGGGCATCTATATACAATAATATTTATATTACATGAAGTAATTCTAAATATTAGAAATACAATTAGTATCTAAATCGCTCAAAAAATACTACAGCAACTGCAATTTCATGTTCTTCCATGTTATTTGCTCTTGTTTTTACAGGTACCTTTTGAAAATAAACTATCAAAGACATTTCGGAAGATACATTTGATCAAATTCTTAATCAAATTCAACTTTGCTTCTGGACAATTTCAAAAGGAACTGTAGCTCAACTTTACTTGGTTGACAAAATTTGATAGAATAGACAAGCATTAGAAACAACAATACAAAGAAAGAGCTAGCGCTGAAAATAATATAATTTCATAATAAGGTTTCTTCAACAAATTCAAACCTTCACATCCAAATAAAATTCATGAAACAGAAATATTTACAATCTACAAATGCAAGCATAAAACACAAGTATATTGGAGCTCAAGGTGCAGGGAAAAAGAAAAACAACAACAACAACAACAACAACTTTGATACTGTCACTGAATAAAACTTATTGATTTTTATAGTGGTTTGACTGTCAGTTTTATGACCCAAAAATAGGTCATTACTAATACCTGAATCATATTCAACTTGCTTCCCGCAAACCATGACCCCCTTTCGCACAGACACTTACGCACATGAGGAGTGGCCCCTTTCTTGCTACACTTCCACTCAACCACCACACAATTTCTTTCGCTAGGCCAACCTCGTAGGACACTTACACAGAGCACACTTAAATCCTGCAGCAATCAAACCACATTCTTGCACCCATTCAATGACTGCCAAACATCCTCTTGGGTGCAACGTGTAAAAGATCCACACTTCTTCTCACTGCCGCATGGGAGTCTCGCAGCCTAGCCGGCGAAACCGCCCTGTGCTTTGCTTTTTAGAAGTATATACTAAGTTGCACATATTGCTCACCACTCCTCCCCACCAAAAGGTTCTTCTCATAATCCCCTAAACTCCCCTTGTCCCCTCCAACATGGATATCCCCCTCTCCGAAGCAGTACGAAGTGCAGGTTTCAACTACTCTTTTAAGTTGCACCATATACTACACTTCAGCAAAAAATAGAATTTGCGAAAGCGTTGCACATTGATGCCAAGAGATTTGCACAAAGGCCATCACAAAACACACACACACACACACTACCACAACAACAAGGCAATCCCAGACCCTCGTCTCTACTGCCATCTCCAAGAACTTCTAGCAACAGTCAACGAGCCCACATCTTCCCTTAAATTTTTGTAATTGCAACTGAACAGGATACAAAAGGAAAAAACGATTAAATTTACACCTTTGTATACATCATTGTTATAAGTTCATCAATATGGTTTGAGATGCAAAACTCACCGAGACTAGTCCCATCAACACCACTTTCACCAGTCAGGTACTCATGTGCATCAATATCCTGATCTACCTCACTAGGAGCATCAGGTAGTTCTTCCTTCACTTGCACCCCTATGAACATTGACGTAGAGGGGCCCTGCTTCATTGAAATCTGGGGTGCAAGATTTGAAGTAGATGACCTTTGATGCAACATTGACTGTGCTGCTGCAGGCACTCTATTAGCACTGGATCCCACTTGGGCAGACAGCTTCTGCTCAAAGGCAGTTCGATTAAGTCTTACATGGGATTGGGTTCCCTGACTTAACACAGACTGACTGTTTGAAGGTAGAGTTCCAGAGGACTCGCTGCATGCACTCTGAAACAAATTGATTAGTAAAATCAATCTCTTGAACTAGATTAACAAAGGAACAATATTCGAATGTACATACAGTGTGTTTATTATTTAGAACACACAAGCACCCACTCCCACATACATACATACATATTAATTACACCCTTTTTCCTGATACTCTATATCACGGGGTGGCGATGTACAGAGGCAGGTCCTATCTATGTCGCTGCAGTGCAGTGCAGTCAACATCATCATCAGAAATCTTAGCGCAATAGCATGTCTGTGACCAGAATGCTATGAGAAATGCAATGTTTTATTTTTAATTCTATATACATAGTTAATAATTGAAAGATTAAAATGAAAATGAATGTAATTGCCATTTTCATACTTTCAAGAAAAATGAGTATATACACGTCAAACCTATTGGGACAAACAACCCCTGCTATTTATAATCACCTTGTAACACTATCAAGAAATGTGTCGACTTCGATTCTTATTTATGTTATAGAGCTTGAGATTCATTCATCATTACTCTGGTAAAAATTTTAATTTAACAAAAATGACACTCGCATCCTTTTTTATTTCAAGTTTATAGAAACTGAGTAACAAGACGGGCCAAGGCTGAGTGAGAACTATGGAGCTGAAGGATCAAGAAAATTTATGCACATAATACATACACATACACTATTTGAAATCTCTCCAAATACCTTTATAATTACTCATGTGATTATTCATAAATTAAAAATAATAAACACACTACACTCCAATTAAAAAAAGAGTGATCTGACAGTGATCACCTGGGATACAGTTATCCAATCGAAAGCCTCATTATAATTCAATTTTTTAAATTGAAGTTCCTGATTGGCTAACAGCTTCCTACTTGACCGTCTGTCAAATCTATATTGTATACTCATCTGTCAAATATATATTAACCAGAGAATTCATTTATATATTTGTATGTATGTATTTATACATACAAAATAATTTTCATCCATTATTTTTACACATTTCAGATAAATCAACATAACATCAGGTTCTCAACATTTATTGAAATCACATTTCAGGCAGATTCAAAATGACTTGGGTCAATAATTTAAATTTTATTTGACTAAAATTACTTACTTAGTTTACTAAACATTCTTTCAACATTTGCAATTTCTTTTTTTCACATTGTGTTTACATTGAAGCATCAACTCCATTTCTAAAATTTAAAGAACACTTGCTTATCAAGTACATGGTTTCAAAATTTCGCATTCAATTAAAAGATGAACTGAACTTTTGTGTGTTTAGTATATATTCTTTAAAAAAAGTTTTTTTCAATTTAAGTTTTAAGATAATGGTGAATCAACTTGTAGCAGTAGCACAGAATTATCAAGATGCTGTTATAATACTTGTATCAAAAAACTGAAATACTTGATCTGCTATTTTCATTCCTAAACAGTAAGACATTTTAGAGAAAAATGTAATAATTAAAGATAATATGGGTGAATGATGACTTCTCACTTTCAAATGCCACCCTCACGTATCCCTGGAGCAGATTGAAATCTTCCTAGAAATCTAAACTACTGGCTTACTACCAAGTAAGAGCAGCAAAATCTTGTGGCAGATATTTCAGATATTGACCAAATTTCCACAATGGAACATCCCCCAATTTACCTTACTTTGATTATTAGAACACTTTTTTGTATCTGTAATTAGATCCTCAGCCATATGATCAGATTCTATTTCACAACTTATTATATTTATACCTGAGAAGAAGCATGCTTAAAAGTTGTCACGTTGACATCTTCAACATTCTGTTCAGCAAGGCCTCTAATTTGTAAAAGTTCAGCAGTCTTCAAAAAATCAGCTAATTCTTCTTGATGTACATTTACTTCTCCTTGATACATGAAACTCAAAATATCAGTCAACTGTTTAAAATGAACATCCTTCATTACCACTATTGGATGACTGCATGGTGTTGTTGAAAATAGTTTTTTGAAATATGGTGAACACACAGACAGTATAAGGCGATGTGCCTGTACAAACCGCCCATCTGCAGCTAATGTTACATCCACAAGGGAATCTTCCATCAACAATGTGCGAAACCCTGAACTCATATTTCGATGAAAATTATTCCATCGCAGTGAAAAATGTTCAGCCATATCAGCAGGAGACCTGAATGAAACAAAGAAAGACACTAGTTATACTATTGATAATGTACAAGAAACTTATCAAATGCAAAGCACAGAATACTGTAGACAAAATTTAGTAATTCCATATTATTGAATAATATCTCCACGTTCAGGTCATTAACGATCTTGCAAGATATCGCCAGTCAAATGAAAATGCTGATTTTGACGAGCCCAGGTGTCTTACGAATCAGCATAATTTTTGCAGCACAAGCATTACAACAATATTCAAATAAAATGTATCCAATCTACTAGCTTCAACGCAATGAAGATTCATCAACGAGCTTTACTTACTTTCTTGAATTTTTACAATAAGTCTTACCTCCTTTCACAAGTTTCTGGTTTCAAACATTAAAAAGTAACCGGCGCCCGAAATGAAAACAACGCGTCGTCTGTTACATTAGCCAGACAGTGCTCCCAACCTACTAGCAAATACTGAGCCATTTACCACAAAATAGTTCAACCAAAGTTGATCTTGGTTCATAATCTGAGAACGAATTAAGAAACACGATTAAAAATATTTTTTCTTCGAAAACTGAATCATCTAATTTATTTAACATTCTAATGAGAACGTAATTGTTAATATATTCTAAAGACATTGCAGATAAATTTTTCAGTTCAACTGTTGCCAGATATGAAACGTGATGAAACATTGGTTATATAGTCTGGCAACTTCGAAAATCCTTGCATTTCTTTTGCTTCATATGCTCAGGTTGTCAAACGTCACTCAGTCGTAAGTTACTTCTAGACTTCATTATGATGTAAGAAATTTGAAAAACACAAGAAATGTCTTGACATTTTGCTTTTCATGCTTGTCCCGAAGAAAACATTCAAAGAATAATATTTGTGATGTTTTCGTCGCCAAATATTATTATGGTACAATTTCCAATTGTCAGAAAAAAGTTACTGAAGAAACCAATGACATCAAGAAATGCTGTATACTAAACGAGTAATAAATCTAAATGTCAATTTTTCGAATTGATGAGGTACACGTTTCTCACATTGAGACTTACACCAAAAGAACAGAAGAGTATTGTATTCGTAATACTTCCACAGCAAGCACAAACGCCCTTCTTCCATAAAAAAATAGTCCTTTGTTAAAAATTAAAAATGCATTTATTTATTTTTAAAATAAATCCGATGGGATAAAACCAATGAGATGCTTACGTTCAAATACAATAGAAAAAGTGTATGGTAATGAAAAAGGATATGCGTTCTAACGCTTTAATTCCAAATTTCTAAACTGGACCGCAATTATGTGTATGATGTGCGCGTACCAAATTGCGCCTTACTTAAAACGAAGATATCTTGAATAACAAATAAAATTTGTATGTTTTTTTAGACATAAATTGCTGATAAAGCGTCAGCTTTTCCTTCGCCAAATTCTCCTCACTGAGTGAGAACTTTTCATCAGTCTATGGATAAGGCAGCGAGCGGCAAACCGTTCTGAAAATTACTGGCGTGCCGTTTCGTCTTACTTCTAAATGCACCGCTTCTAGTTCAATTTGTCGCCAGCACGTGGCACCACCAAATTAAGCAAAATTTACTTACCAGTAACGCCTGAACACAAGGTCCGATTTTCGATCTGTAAACGGCATTTGACTCCACTTTCAAATAGAATTTACGCTTCGATGCCGTTTTAATAAAAAAGATTTCCAAAAAAGTTTTCACATTGCTCTCATAGTTCCGGGATGAAATTAAAAAATGTGCGCAAATAGTGCGATCCAAACGGGCTATCTGAATCCAACGCAGTCTATCACGCAAATCGAATGAAAAGGAGCGTCGTAAAGTGAATTTGGAAAAATACCTCACCCCACTCAGGTCCGCGCCCTTGTCCTCCACGAGAGAGAGAGAGAGAGAGAGAGAGAGAGAGAGAGAGAGAGAGAGAGAGGGGAGAGAGAGAGAAAGAGAGAGAAAGAGAGAGAGAGAAAGAGAGAGAGAGAAAGAGAGAAAGAGAGAGAGAGACAGAGAAACAAAGAAAGAAAGAAAGAGTGAGAGAAGAATGTTGTGACAAAGAGCGCAGGCAGGTGGAGAAATGTTTATAGCTTTGGAGGGGGAGGTCACTTTCGGGCATGCGCAATGAAAGGTTTTTTTGGTAGAGCTATAGTAATCCAGACGAATAGAGATGCGATGTATATGTTGATGTTTTAAAAACATAAGATAACATAAGATTTTGTATTGAGACATACCCAGATATCTCAATGGTATTATTAATTAATGCAATATGGAATAGTGACTCAGGCGAAAGTAAAATAGTAGTAACTACATTTACAAATAGGATCCTGGGCAGCCATATTGGACGTTGCCATATTAAATACAAATATTGTGATGTAAGTAGTAGGAAGTAGAAATGTTCCAGGTCAACATAAACAATAAATACGAGACATTAGAGATTCCTGAGACAATATACACATAGTTGTGATCTGAGACGTGGATATTTGTGAAAAATAAATGTTTATAGTGTCAAAGGCTTGCGCGGTCGGAGTCGTGAATGATCTTGGCTGTCCGGGTGACGCCAAGTCCAGGTGAGTGGCTGGGCAGACTAGCCCCGAGGAAGACCACGATAAGATGGTCGAAAATTCGGCAACACAGCCTTCGACGCGACGTCACTCGGACAGCCGAGATCATTCAATAAATTTTTATTTTAAATCTTTCATAACGAATTATATGAACTATAGTCAGCCAATGGTGACAGGTTTTAGGAAAGACATTAGGGTCATATGTAAAGCTAGGTAGGTAACTGTATAAAAATTGCGGATTCTGCGATTTGCTGTCCGCACGTGCTGTAGGTCATTTTTTCATATCAATTTTGAAAAAACTGCTGGTATATACTGCCTACGTAAGCTTGTCTGTCTGCCCGAAACTTGGGCCTCTTTCCGCGCCCCAGGCCGACAGGAAGTCGAGGAATCACGAGGGTGTGTCGCACCGGAGTGGAAGGGGCAGTGGGGTGAGGGGTTTTTTCAAATTTCACTTTACGACGCTCCTATTCATAGGATTTAGGAAGCCCGTCATCACGTAATCTTGTTTGGTGTAAGGGCTTCGTAACGTAAATTTTAATTTAAAATGGAGTCAAATGCCGTTTACAGATCAAGAATCGGACAAATGGTTTAGACGTTATCGATAAAATAAACTCCCTGTGGTAGTGCTGCAATCTATTGAATTTTCCTGCGAGTATTTCCGAGCCTTACGGCTCTAATACGACCATGGATTTTGCCTGTATTGGTCTTGAATTATGAACAATTTTTTACATAATTGAAAATGTCAAATTGATATAACCGATTCCAATAACATTATTCATGTTGTATATTCATAAATACTTACAATTAATAGGTCTTATATATAAAAATAATAAAGTTAAAATTTTAGGAAACACATGAAAGAATAAAGTTGCATAAAATTTTAAAGCAACGAGAACTTAATTAAATCAAACCACTTTCTGAACTGTTCGTCATTACACATTTCTAATTGATTGCTTCCATCCCTAATGAAACTTTTGTATTACGCACGATGTATTACAAAAATCAAACACAGAAGAGTATTAAGACTCCAAATATTAGGCGAACTCTTAATTGTTTTCCATAAAACGTTTTACTAATGGATTGCTTTAACTAATACTACAACTTTTTACAAACACTAATGAATCTAATACAAGCGCCAATGCACTTAATATTCCATTCAACAGCCTGTGAACGCCGCGTAAAAATACGAGTATAACCTAAACTCGTTACGACTGACGACACGGGACAATCATTAGGGACACTTAAGGGAGCAGGCAGCTTCCCTTATAGGTATGAGGGCTCACTTAAGAATTCACTCAAGCGCTGTATGTGAATAAGATTTTTTCACTTAAGGGAACACTCACTTTTAGTGTCGACTATAAATTTGTCCCTATTATGAGGTCACTTCCGTGTCACGTTTTCCTAATGCTGTTATTTGGGCGTCAATATTGACTAGGATAGTGACTATTTCGGAGCTTTGCATTAAATATTGGCGTTATAAAAGCAAGGCCTTTCTTCGATAGTTCTTGTATCCTGCCTGTAATGAGACCGTAACTTGGACATTTTGCGGGATATGTATATTTTAATTGTTTCTTCTATTTATTGCGGGTAAAAATATTTGATAGGAAGTGATCGTTGAAGAGGTGAATTTAAAGAGTCCAATACATTTTCAGTTGTACTTGTTTTTCCTGCTGGTTTAAAAACTGAAGTCTGCTTTTTCTTCTGCGCGTCGTGCCCAAGAACCAAGAATCAAGAACGTTCGACATAACGAAGGAATAAATTGCAGCGGAAGTTTCAGTACTTTTTTTTCCACAGAAAATGGTTGGCTGATGCAGTTGGTAACAGAGATTTAATATAGTTACTTAGAATCATATTTTCGTGCTCTTTTATTTTTCTACTTGTCTTGTTGCTGCATTAAATTTACTTTTATCTTCGGGTTGACGTGTATTCATAAATCTCTTAGGTAATTTTCGTTTCTCTGCTACTTTTCGCATTATTTCTCTTGAGTATGGTGAAAATTTACTATTGTCGTTACTTGGAGGCGTTGCTGCCCACGCCTGTTTTTAAGGTCATGTTTGCAAACCTTTTTTGGTTCACGCTTAGATTAGAAAAAACGTTGGTTAAAGTAGCAATAGATTCTCGAGAGGGGTTACACGGGAGAATTTCAAACAGACCAAGCTTGATTATGTTATGCCCAATTTTGTTTGAAAATTTAAATCAAGATTTTCAAAAATAATCGCGTCACAAGGATAGAGAATTTAAAACAGACGTGCAGATGCATTCATTTAATTAAGAACATCCAGATATTCTTAATTAAAAGAATGCATCTGCAAGTCTGTTTTAAATTCTCGATCCTAGTAACTCGATTTGTTCGTGACAGCCAGATATCGAAGGAGAGGGGCTTTAGCTGTCAGAGTAGAATTAGACCTTGGGGCAGCTTGTCTCTCAAGGCGTATACCATAGGTGAATTCTCTCCCCCGATTCTGTGATCGTAGGAAGGTGTATGGGCATAGCTTCTTTTCACGCGTCTCCCTGCCCTGCGTGAAAATCATACCCCCTCAACCGTATGCACTGCTAAAGTCCACGGGAGGGTATCAAAGTCATAGAACCGGGTTGTGACGCATTGTGCGTTGAAAGACCTCGCAATAAGTCCGAATACACCCACTAGGCAGTAAGGTGGTGTGAATTTTTCAACTCAGAAGATATCAATGAAGAGTGTTTAATATTAATTTATTGATGATTTCTTCCATAAATACGTTATATGTTACTCTATTTTGATAATTACAATTAAGTTCTGTAATTTACTACTTCCAGGGAAGAAATGTCAATATCACAAGTGTGACGGACAAATTTGCATAAAAAAGAAATCTCTCTAAATTGGAATTTGGTATCCCGATCGATTCCGGCATAGATTTTACTGCACATGCTATTGCAAATCTTGAGGCTCAAACACACAGTTAGCTGCTTGTATTAAAGTTATTCACAACGCACAAGCAAAATTAAAAGACGTAATAGGAGAAAACACTGAAAAAATGAAAAAGAAATTACAAGATTCATTGGAGAAAAATTCAGACTGAAAAGACATGAAAATAATCGCCAACATTC